AAAAAAAAAAAAAAAAAAAAAAAGCAGAGATTGTGTTTATCTTGATTACAGCCAAATGCCTAGCATCTGGCACAGTGTCTGCCCAGAGAAGGCATTCAAAAGATATTTTTGAATGAATAGATAAAACCATTTCTTCTTTAAAAAAAATTACTATAGATGTGGCTACTATACCATGCAAATAGATCAAGGAGTGTGAGAGTGACACAATAGACGTTTATTCACTTCAAACAACAGCATGGATTTCACACGAATTTGGCGAAGCCCTTCCCTAACAGAACAAGCATTCGCATTAGGGGAAAAAGGCTGACCTGCTCTAGGGATGAAATACATTCACCAAGAATATGGATAAAAACAAAAACAAAACAGACAGTAGAACCAAAAAACAGAGACCTTAAAGGAAATGAACAACATTATACCAAGTAATGTTTATAAATCCAGATCATAATTGAAAGTAGGTTACAAAAATGGAAATTGTAAGTATTGTTATTCTTGTACTTTTCACACAAGCAGAATTTTTAGAAAAACTTGAGGCCAGGGAGTGCTAGAGAGTTTCTGTATGGCAGGCAAGAATTCTTTCTTTCAAACAAGACCAAAAACCTCAGGACAATGAGAAAGTATATCTTTTAAAAACTGATTTCATAGTAATGTTTCTATATATTTTGAAGCATCTTTAAGTATTTAGAGCATATAAAATTAATTCATTTCTTTCCCGGTTAATAAAAAAGATACATTCACAGAATCAGCAGTACTTAGAATAAAAAATAAACAGAGGAAATAAGACAAGTAACTCAATAACAACATCTTCAAGGACGTGTTTGGTCACTTAAAAACAAGTGTTTTTTTTTTTTTTTTTTTTTTTGCTTGTTTTCAACTACCTCTTTCATAATTAATATTTCAAGTATAGCTGGTTCAACAGGGCATACTACAAACTGTCAGTATCACAGTAAGTACAGTGCAATACAAGATCATCCAAAAACACGTTGACACTTCCAAGATACTGGCATGGGGTCTATGGAGTTTTGTGTGTAAAATTTTAAAAACCCTTCCTACGGTGATGTTTAAGGCCAGGAGCATTCATCTCTCAACCTTGTGTCAATCCAGGATCCATAGGGCTAGGTGTCATTAGGCAAGAGAGTAGTTTGTTCCTCCTCTGTGCTGAGGACATTTTGAGATTTAGTCCTACATTGAGGGAAAGAAGAAATGAATCTCAGTATTTCTCATCTTAAAAAACAAAAACAAAACAAAACACAAAACTCAGTACCTGTATCTTCATCCAGCTATCTTTTTTAAAAAGCATCTACTGGCCAGGTGCAGTGGTTCAGGCCTGTAATCCCAGCATTTTGGGAGGCCGAGGTACATGGATCATTTGGGGTCAGGAATCCGAAACCAGCCTGGCCAACACAGTGAAACCCTGTCTCTATCAAAAATACAAAAATTAGCAGGGCATGGTGGCTCATGCCTGTAGTCCCAGCTACGTGGGAGGCTGAGGCAGGAGAATCACTTGAACCTGGGAGGCAGAGGTTGCAGTGAGCTGAGATTATGTCACCGCATGCCAGTCTGGTGACAGAGCAAGACACCATCTCAACAAATAAAAATTTAAAAAAGTATCTACCAACTGATAAGCCTTAGAGTGCCTAGAAATCCACTGACTGGATTTGTTATGGCTGTAAAATGTTACTTATTTTCCACTTGCACTGGCTAACTTTTAAAGAGAGAAAAAAGCCCAAAAATTGATCCTACCTTCTTCTCCTTGAATACTCCAGTAGATAAAACAAGCCCATGGCTAATCCCTTAAACACAATCAAAGGTACTGATTAATGTAAATTTTCCAAGTCAAGTTTTTCCACAAATATAAGAAAAATGAAAATAAAAGACTGGTTACTCACACTTATCAGTGCCCATAGACCTTGTGCAGCTGCTGCCCATTCAAAACCAATTTTCTCGTACAGAAATCCACCCAGCGTTGGTCCTATAAAACCACTAACAATAGAAAAAAGAAAAAGTATTCAATAGCGCAAAAAATAATAATTACTTCATAAAAGCTACATGATCCTTCAATTGTAAGTCTTCCTTAAATTGGAATGTAAGTACTAAAGAAAAAGTTAATTCCTGGGCACAGCATTGAGTAAAAGAAAATAAGTCTACCTGATTACGATATTCAACATTTTTAAACAATTGTGAAATTATTAGTGCTTCTGAAAAGTTGGTGGCTTATATAAAAATTAAAATGATGTAACCAGTTTAAAAAATTCTTTATATTACTCTATTCTCAGTATTTGCAACCAATATAACTCAATTCAAAATAATATATTACATTGTTAGCATAGTTACCCTTCTGGTAGAAGGTAAAAAAATAAACAAATGAATAAATGAAAAAAATTGTAATAATTGGAGACATGTTTCTACTAAAGGAACTTATAAATATCACTTAAATAAGATAAAGTACATGAAACCATTTTGACTAAGTATTAAAACTGCTGGTATAAGCATTGATTGTGGAGTGAGAGGGTATGGATTAGAATTCTGGCTCTGCCCTAGATGAACTGTCTTTGAGAAACCCATCTGATCACTCAGTGTTTCAATTTCTTCATCAACTAAAGCGGGGATAGTATTAATATCTTCCATCTTACAGGTGTGAATGAAATTAAATGAGGCCAGGTGCAGTGGCTCACACTTGTAATCCCAGCATTTGGGAGGCCAAAGAGGGCAGATCACCTGAGGTCAGGAGTTCAGGACCAGCCTGGCCAACATGGTGAAACGCTGTCTCTATTAAAAACACAAAAATTTGCCAGACGTGGCGGTGGGCGTCTGTAATCTCAGCCACTCAGCTGGCTGAGACAGAAGAATCTCTTGAACCTGGAGGTGGAGGTTGCAGTGAGCCACGACTGCACCCTTGCACTCCAGTCTGGGTGATGAGAGTGAAACTCTGTCTCAACAAAGAAAGAAAGAAAGAAATTAAATGACTACTCACCCAATTGACCACATTGCACTAAAAAGACCTGATACGAGTCCCAATGTACTTAATCCCTCTTCAAACCCATTTTCACTGCAAAAAGAGACATGAGTGTGTCCATTATTAAAAGGAAAACCTGTGTGAAAGAAAAAATTGTATGATAGATCAATTAAGATAAACCAGGGATCATCCGGACCAACAGCAAGAACACTCCTAACATAAAAGCAAATCTAATTAAAAAAAATTTTCATAGTTACATTCACTCCATGGTTTTCTAGAAATAATTTTTCTACATATATTAATATTAAGAAGAGGCTGGGCACAGTGGCTCATGCTTGTAATCCTAGCACTTTGGGAGGCTGAGACTGGCAGATTGCCTGAACTCAGGAGTTCGAGACCAGCCTGAAAAACACGGTGAAACCTCATCTCTACTAAAATACAAATTTAAAAAATTAGCTGGGCGTGGTGGCATGTGCCTATAATCCCAGCTACTCAGGGGCTGAGTCAGGAGAATTGCTTGAACCCAGGAAGCAGAGGTTGCAGTGAGCCTAGATCACACCACTGCACCCTGGTCTGGGTGACAGAGCGAGACTCTGTCTCAAAAAAAAAAAAAAAAAAAAAAGAAGCATTGCTCATTTGCATTAAATGCTTATAAAAATATATAACTAAAACATTCTTAAAATGAGAAAAAGATGAAAAGAGAACTAAGGAAACTTTTAAAAAACAGAGATAGCTCCTTATTCCTATGAGAACTGTTGAATTGACCCAGCACAGTCACAGTACTTAAGTGTCCTTCATCATCACGCCTATTAAACAAAAGAACAATGACCAGGTGACAGACGCCTGGTCACCTAGGCTCTGGCATGGACCTCCTCCCTGAACGAGGAACAGTGCTGAGACCTGTTTATTTTGCTTTAGCTTTTCAAAATTACATATATACTGAGGCATAAACCAAGCCAGACATCTGTCCTCAACCCATTTTAGCTATTACTGTATTAGGAGTACTATTATCATTTCTATTACTGTATTATTACTATGTACATCATCATATCATAGGCTACAAAATCATGAAGATTTAACATTGGGGCAAAAATATCCAACATGCTGCAAAATTGAGAAATTGAAGAAAGCCTGTGATACTTACTACTTACTCACAATACAGCTCTTCAAGCATTGGATTTAACTTACTATGCACAACTGAGAATTTCCGGGAAAGTTGGAATTATACTCATTCCAGCAGAGATGCCATTTATAACTAATATCAGCACCAGCAGCCAGAGCTGACTGCGAAAGGGTTTTGGAGAAAATAAAAACAAAAAGAAAAATATTAGCGTTTTAAGAAACACGAAGTTTTAAATGCTAAGGAAGTTAGGCTCCCAGAGAAGTTAATTTCACTGATTATGTGCCTAGTCTCATTCTCTTCCCATCTAACTCATTTCATTCAGTTAGGAGCCCTTTGGCTCCTTACAATTTGGGGGTGAAAATTCACCCTGATTATCTCCATTTCTTTGGTCCTTTGGTCACATGTATCACGTCTGGAACCAGCCTGGCTTCTCACCAGGCAAAATCCCTTCAAAATTGGTAAAAATGTCAATACTAACACAGTTCTTTCAATCACCTGGCTTTTAACTTCAATTAATTTAAAAATGGCATAGAAGGAAAGAAGTAAAAGAGTCAGGAGACACATTTGTTCCATGTGAGGAGACCATGCCAGTTACTTAGTATATGTTATCAGATTTAACCCTTGTGACGTAAGTACTATTATCAGCTCCTGTTGGTAGATGAGAAAACCGAGGCTCTTAGAAGTTAAGTGATTTGCCCAAGTTCACACTAATAGCACATGGCAAAGCCAAAATATACACTCAAGTCTGAAGGACTCTGAAATCCGTTTCGCTCCATGTTACCATGTTTTATCCCAGAAGTACCTCAAAACGTCTAAGAAATTCAGTTTATTTTAGCAACTAAATTATATTAAGCAAGCTTTAATAAGCAGCTAATACATGGTAAGGCTGATACAGAAACAAAAACAGATTTGGTCCCTGTCTCAAGGAATAAGGAAGACAAACAGAAAAAACAAAAATATATTCTAAGAACTATCAACTAAAAGGTAGAAAGCAATACATGCTATTTTAAAAATAAAGTATAAACAAGTATGTACAATTGAAACACAGAAGGAGAATTCGCATTTTTGTCATCTGAGACTGATTTTATGCATTTTTTTCTGCTTGTCCCACTGCTAGCTTCTAGTAGGGTAACATATTGTCAGCCTAACAACTCAATAGAGTCCTAACGTTAATTATTTAAATATTAAGGCTCAAAATACTAAACTACACCAGTGTTACAACAAAAGTTTTATAAATAATTCCTAATGTTATTTGGCCAAACATACAGAAGAAGAAAAACATTACCTTTTAATATGCAAGATCGGGACAGGCCCTAAGAGCATGTAGCACCCAGCAGTGATTAAGTTTCCAAACACTAGAAGCCATTTCCTTAGATGCTGGTAAGGAGAAAGAGAGTCAAAGTGATTCTTGGAGGTGAAGACCCTCGGTAATCAAACAATGTAAAACATTAGTAAAGAACACAAGTCGTGTAATGAAGAAAACAAAACTTTACATTTAAGAGAAAATAAGTAGACGATAAACTCGAAAGCAAGGGCAATATATAACAAGACAGAAAGTGAACAAAGGACAAAGATTTCTTAGCAGGGGAGTGGATTGCAGATCAGATTTTGCACATGATGAACTATTCCAAATATAGCAATGAAAAAACTAACCATAAAAAGCAGTGACGGGCCAGGCACGGTGGCTCACACCATCTGTAATCCCAACACTTTGGGAGGTCGAGGCGGGAAGATCGCTTGAGCTCACAAGTTTGAGACCAGCCTGGCCAACATGGTGAAACCCTGATTCTACTTAAAAAATACAAAAATTAGCTGGGCATGGTGGTGCACATCTGTAATTCCAGCTACTTGGGAGGCTGAGGCAGGAGAATTGCTTGAACCCAGAAAGCAGAGGTTGCAGTGAGCTGAGATGACACCACTGCATTCCATCCTTGTGACAGACCAAAACTGTCTCAAAAAGAAAGAAAAACAGCAGTGACCTCCAAAAAATCCCCACCAAGTATTAATAGTTACAATACCTAAAAAAAAAATCATATTATTAAAAAATTACCTACTAGAGGCTGAATGCTTCTGTCCCCCCAAAATTTATATGTTAAATCTTAACACCCAATGCGATGGTATCCAGGGGTGCGCCTTTGGGAGGGGATTAGGTAATGAAGGTGCAGCCTTCATGTATAGGATTAGTTCCCGTCCGTATACAAGAGGCCCTAGAGAGCTCCCGTGCCCATTCCATCATGATGAGGGTACAGTGAAAGACGACAGTCTGTGTGCCAGGCAACAGGCCCTCATCAGACATCAAATCTGCGTGTGCCTTAATCCTGAACAGCTTTGTCTCCACAACTATGAGAAACACATTTCCATTGTTTATAAAGCCTCTCAGTTTATGGTATGTTGCTGTAGTATCCTGAATGGACTAAGATTGTGCCCAATAAATTTATCCCTTATAAACTACTTGAATCAGGACAAAAATTACAGGGGTACCATATCTGCTCAGTTATGTAAGATTATGTCTGAAAACCAAGCTCCAAACACTGTTTAAGATACCTGCTTTTTGTCATCTGGGTTACAAAGTAATCCACAAGTAATTTTGTTCTTGATAAATATATGAGCAAATCAAATAAAGATGGAAATACAAAATATAATCCTTAAAGCCACAGAAGTTTGAGTTTTGACTAACAGTACTAATTCTGTACTTTTGTCATCTGGACTGACTGGTTTAAAGCTAGTTGAAAGAGAACAGAAGAAGTTTTTCATCAGAAAGGCTATGGGAGAGAGATCCAAGGTGGCTGATCACTAGCAGCTCAGGATTGTAGCTCCCAGTGAAAGCACAGAGAATGAGAGGACGCCACACTTTCAGACGAATTTTTGTTGCTGATGCACCCGGAGATTCCCAGCGGAGGAGCCCCACGGGTCGCCAGCGGGACTCTTGTAGCCAGCTAGGTGGTTTTGCCACTGCCTTGGTGCTGCAGTTCTTGGTGCAGAGTAAAAGCACCATCAATCATAACGTCGCTGTTTTGGCTGGCGCAGTGGGTTGCTCAGATTTTAGCGCCGGGAATCAACAAGTTGGACGTCCACTCAGAAACCCAACTATAAAGACGGTAATTATAAAGACCACAGATGGATAAATCTATAAAGAAGGGAAGAAAACAGCCTAAAAAGGCTGACAATACCCAAAATCAGAACGCCTCTCCCTCCACAGGGAATTACAGCTCCTCATCAGCAATGGAACAAGGCCTGATGGAGAACGAGTGTGTTCCATTAACAGAAGCAGGCTTCAAAAGGTGGATAATAAGAAACTTCTGTGAATTAAAAGAACTTGTTCTAAACCAATGCAAAGAAACTAAGAACTTTGAAAAAAGGTTTGATGAAATGTTAATAAGAATACACAATTTAGAGAGGAATATAAGTGAATTAATGGAGC